GACACACAAAAAATTGTACTTCGATGTCTTACTGATTGAGGAATGATGAAATGTTTGTTTTAAAAGAAATAAAACTTTTGAACCTGAAAAAAAAAAGATGATGATGGGAAAATAGAGGAGGAAAGGGGACAAAGAATAAAATGAAAGATAATGGGGAATAGAAGAGAAAAAAGCACTGATTTCCAGTTCCTATTGGTGCAGTAGAATAAGGTAATAACATAAAGCTTTGACGTTTTATTTTTACGTAATAGTATGTCTGGCTGCAAAAGTTGATGGAGTTAGTAGACATGGCTAAACTGGTTTCTTTGATTAAAGAAAGGAACGCAATGAATTTTGTTTTGACTTGGAAACCATTCTTGGACTTTGTGCTTGAGGTGGGAAAAAATGAAAATAAGGGAGGGAGGGAGGGAAGGATGGGAAGAAGGAGAGAGGAGCTGTGGTGGCACAGTGGTTAGAATGCAGTATTTACCCACTGCCAGGAGTTCGATTCTGACAGGCTCAAGGTTGACTCAGCCTTCCATCCTTCCGAGGTCGATAAAATGAGGACCTGGATTGTTGTTGGGGGGGGGGGTGATATGCTGGCTCTGTAAATCACTAAGAGAAGGCTATAAAGCACTGTGAAGCAGTATATAAGTCTAAATGCTATCAATATTGCTTTTGCCTCAACAATCTGGGTCCACATTGTACCCACCTCAGAAGGATGGAAGGCTCAGGTCAACCTTGAGCCAACCAGGATCGAACTGCTGGCAGTGAGCAGAGTTATCTTACAATACTGCGTTCTAACCACTGCTGACAATCTGCTTTCTCATGTTGAAATTACAATGTACACCGTCGCTATAATGTCCTCCTGTTCCTGTTGTTGTTGTTTTCCCTCAGAGTCAACGATTGCATTTTGCGGGTGAATGAGGTCGACGTATCCGAAGTTTCACATAGCAAAGCCGTTGAGGCGCTGAAGGAAGCCGGCTCCATTGTACGACTCTATGTCCGCCGGAGGAGACCTATTCTGGAGACTGTGGTGGAAATTAAACTGTTCAAAGGGCCCAAAGGTAATTATGGGCCATGCGGCAAACACAGCAGCGCAGGGGGTCTTCAACTTACGACCACCATTGGGTCATATATATGACTCAATGGTGGTTCCAGATCCCATCGCAATCGGTGCGCTGCGACCATGTGCACCTGCGCTGCACATACATATGCACCACTGCCCTGTGATGCTCCAGCTGCTTGGCGGAGCTTTGCGCAGGCGCCGTACACTGCGTGCATGGGCGCAAATGGCCCTTTTGGGTCAAATATAGATAAGGAGAGTTTCCTCCGAAGCACCGGAACGGAATGGTACCTAGTGCTCCCAGCACGCACCAGTACACTCATACCGGGGTGTACCGGCTGTAACCCACCACTGGTATGATCACCTTCCATAGCCAAGTGAGGTGTTTGTTAGTTGAATCATGCCGAATTTCACAGCCTTTTTTTTGTCATGGTTGTTAAGTGATTCACTCCCGATTTTACAACCTTCGTCACCATGGCTGTTAAGCGAATCATGTGGTTGTTAAGCAAATCCTTCCTCTCCCATTGACTGTGCTTGTCGAACGCCAACTGGGAAGATTGCAAATTAAGATCACGTGAAGTGTTAATACCACTTCAAAGGACTACGTGTACATGCTTCTTGCAGATAGGCAGCGTGCTTCACTTTGGCAAGATACTGTCTCTAGGGCTGGATCAATGAAGAACTCAGCTTGGAAGAATCCCCGAGTGCCTTTCTTGGATTTGGGAGCCTGGCGTAGCCCGAGATACTGCTTTTGAGCTTAACTTTAGCTCACTTTTCAATAAAGTGTATCCTCAATGAAGTTTCTTATCCTTTTTCATTTCCCTTTAGGCCTGGGATTCAGCATTGCCGGAGGTGTAGGAAACCAGCACATTCCTGGTGACAACAGCATCTATGTCACAAAAATTATTGATGGTGGAGCAGCGCAAAAGGACGCACGGTTGCATGTTGGAGACAGGCTTCTTATGGTGAGAATTGACTTTTTTTTTTAATCGGTAGTGTGATGAAATATAACACATAACACATAGCAATAGCAGTAGACTTAGCAGTAGACTTATATACCGCTTCATAGGCCTTTCAGGCCTCTCTAAGCGGTTTACAGAGAGTCAGCATATTGNATGAGTTTTTGCAATAATCCCATGAACCATAAAAAAACCCAGGGCAGGTCCCTTCCTTTTCCACCTCTTGGCCTCAGAGATACTTATCTCCTTCGTTAATATGAAGCTAAATGTGGGTAAGTGATTTAGCTTGCTTGCTTCCTCACAGCCTTTGGTAGGAGGACCTAGTTATCTCTTGGGTGGCAGACACCAGGGCTAGACTGGTAGTTAAGAAGGCGGCATTGGATATGGAGAGGAAGGCTTCCTGGAGAAAGGCAGGGGGGGATTAGTTATCCTTGGTTGACAAGAACACTACACTAAGTGAAGAGAGAGGAAGAGAGAAAGGGAGAGGAGAGGAGGAAGAGAGCAGTTAGGAGAGAAGGAGCAGAAGGGAGGAAAAGAGTAGAAGGGAGAGAAGGAGTGGAAAGAGGATAGTGGAGAAGGAGAGAGGAAGGGGAAGTAGAGGAGAGAGATGGTAGAGGGAAGAAAGGAGGGAGAGAGAAAGAGGGAGGGAGGGGAAGCAGGATGGCAGTGGATAAGACGTAATATGGAAAGCAGAAAAGCGAATGAAAATTGTTATGGGATGATGGTAAGAGGAACTGATATAATATTGGACAACACAAAATAATGCAGGTTAAGATGCAATGGTATACATGTATGAAAATAAAAGTTTTAAAAAAAACTTTTTTCAAAAAAAAAAACCCCCACTACACCGAAATCTTGATTTGAAGTATGTATTTTGGAATGATGGCTTTGTCATCCTTTAAAAGCTTCCAGTGTTGGAACTTCTGGAGACAAGTTGTTCCACTGATTAATTGTTCTAACTCTTAGGAAATTTCTCCTTAGTTCTAATTGCTTCTCTCCTTCATTAGTTTCCATCCATTGCTTCCTGTCCTGCTCTCAGGTGCTTTGTAGAATAGCTTGACTGCCTCTTCTTTGTGACAATATTTGGTGTTTTATTCTCTCAGCCTTCTTTCCTAACACTTAGGTAGCTCATTCATATAGAGAACAAAACAGAAACTGAGGGGAGATTAAAGACCCAGCATGTAATAGAATAGAATAACCGAGTTGGAAGGGGCCTTGGAGGTCTTCTAGTCCAGCCCCCTGCTCAGGCAGGAAACCTTACACCACTTCAGACATATGGTTATCCAACATCTTCTTAAAAACATCCAGTGTTGGAGCATTCACAACTTTTGGAGACAAGTTGTTCCACTGATTAATTGTTTTAAGTGTCAGGAAATTTCTCCTTAGTTCTAGGTTGCTTCTGTCCTTGATTAGTTTCCACCCATTGCTTCTTGTCCTGCCCTCAGGTACTTTGGAGAATAGCTTGAGTCCTTCTTCTTTGCGGCAGCCTCTTGTCCTGTTGTCTCTTTCATAAATTATGCAACCACTGTCTTTATGGAAATAATAATAATCGCAACCTTGAATCTAGCAGATGGGAAAACAATGCTCTGTCTTGCCCTATCAGAGAATTACACTCTCTCTGGGTGATGTTTCCAGCTAACATGTCCACTTGTGTCTGCATCTTATTTCTGAAAACTGCAGAGCATTTTTGTTTGAGGTTTAAGCTCCTGGCTTGGACTTTGCTTCTTTCCTCTTGTTTGCCTGAGCTTGGCAAGCAATGGCTCCCGTTTTAATCCCAT